TTGATGTCATGGCATCATAGCTCACAGCAATCTCCACCTTAGGTGTATGTGGCTGGCGCCTTAGCCGCTTGAGCCACAGGCGCCGAGCCAAGGTTTTTAAATATTTAAGGGAAAAAAACCAAAAAGCAATACTATTGTTATAACACATGCAAAGTATATGAAATTTAAATTGGTGTTCATAAATAAAGCTTTCTTAAAACACAGAAAATGGCATATTATTTATGGCATTTAAATGATGGCATATTATTTATGGGTAGTATGGAGTTGTCTAAGATATTTAGTACTGTGCCTTTACAGAAAACCTTGCCAACTCCTGGTTAGAAAAACTTTGTTCCTTGAGGAGGAATAGTGTAAAAGTATCTAAGAGAAACATGATGGGCTATGGATTAGGGGAGACAGAGCATCTGTATAGTTTTTATTAAATTTTGCCTAAAACCTTTCTTTTCTTTTAACAGAGATACCGAACAAAGCCATACTGTTGTGGCCTCTGTAAATATTCTACAAAAGTTCTTACTTCATTCAAAAATCATTTACATCGTTACCATGAAGATGAGATTGACCAGGAGCTGGTGATCCCTTGCCCAAACTGTGTGTTTGCATCTCAACCTAAAGTTGTGGGGAGGCACTTCAGAATGTTCCATGCCCCCATTCGAAAAGTTCAGAACTACACAGTGAATATTTTGGGTGAAACTAAATCACCTAGGAGTGATGTGATAAGTTTTACATGTTTAAAATGTAACTTTTCAAACACTTTGTACTACAGCATGAAGAAGCATGTGCTGGTGGCCCATTTTCACTACCTGATTCACACCTACTTTGGGCTGCGAACAGAGGAAGGTGCGCAGCCGAAAACTAATGATGTTCCTTCTGCGGAGAAGATCCCACCATCTGACAAATACTACTGTAAAAAGTGCAGTGCCAATGCCAGCAGCCAGGATGCATTGATGTATCACATTTTGACATCAGATATACACAGGGATTTGGAAAATAAGCTTAGATCTGTGATTTCAGAACATATTAAGAGGACTGGACTTCTGAAGCAGATGCACATTGCTCCCAAGCCAGCAGCACATGTGGCGGCGCCCCCCAGCAGCAGTGTGCCCGGCGTTGCAGCCCCACCTTCACGCTTCCGCCTGGCCTTGCCGCAGAGCAGTCCCAGCCCAGCTGCAGCGCAGCCCGTGACTGTGGCCCCAAGTGCTCCCGGGAGCCTCACTCAGTCCCCTCCAGCCTCTGCTCAGTCCCGTGTGACTCTGGTGTCCAGCCCTCTGCCTGTGGGCCAGAGCACCCTCAGCCTACCATCCTCCACACCACAACCTGTCTTTCTCTCTCATGGGGTTCCTCTCCCTCAGTCTGTAAACCCTCCTGTGCTGCCGTTGACTCAGCCTGTGGGACCCATAAACAAGCCTGTCGGGACTGGTGTCCTCCCCATAAGCCCAACTGTCCGCCCTGGGGTCTTACCCCTCACGCAGCCTGGGGGCCCTGTGAGGCCTGGCATCCTTCCTGTTAATCCCTCTGTCACCCCTGGCGTTCTTCAGGCCGTCTCACCAGGGGTGATTTCTGTGAGCCGGGCAGTCCCAGCAGGAGTCATTCCTGCAGGCCGGATGACCCCTGCCGGGGTTATTCCTGGACAGACAGCAACCTCTGGGGTTCTTCCTCCTGGTCAGATGGTCCAGTCAGGAGTGCTCCCTGTTGGCCAGACAGCCCCATCACGGGTTCTCCCTGCTGGCCAGGTGGTCCCGTCTGGGCTACTTTCTCCCAACCAGGCAGTCTCCTCAGGAGTTGTCCCTGTAAGCCAGGGTGTGAATTCTGGTGTTCTTCAGCTCAATCAGCCTGTCATGCCAGGTGTCTTCCCTGTGGGCCAGCCCATGAGGCCTGGGGTTTTGCAGCTCAGTCAGACTGTCAGCACCAACATTCTGCCCGTGAGTCAGCCATTTAGACCTGGCTCATCACAGAACACCACTTTCCTCACTTCAGGCTCTATTCTCAGACAGCTCATCCCTACAGGGAAGCAAGTGAATGGGATTCCAACCTATACACTGGCCCCAGTGTCGGTCACCCTGCCAGTGCCCCCTGGAGGGGTTGCAACAGTGGCCCCGCCACAGGTGCCTATCCAGCTTTTGCCGCCAGGTGCAGCTGCCCCAGTGGCCAGTTCCCTGCCTGGTGTGCCCTCGCCACCTGTGCTGGTGAGTGCCTCCCAGAGCGTGTTCATTCAGGCCCCTTCCCCTGTGGCAGATGCCAGCCAGGCACTCAGGCAGGCCAAGCAGTGGAAGACTTGCCCTGTCTGCAATGAGCTGTTCCCTTCCAATGTCTACCAGGTGCACATGGAGGTGGCTCACAAGCACAGTGAGTGCAGGTCTGGTGACAAGCTTGAGCCTGAGAAACTAGCTGCATGTGCGCCATTCCTCAAGTGGATGAGAGAGAAGACAGTGCGCTGTCTTTCCTGCAAATGCCTGGTCTCTGAGGAGGAGCTCATACACCACCTGCTAATGCATGGTCTGGGCTGCTTGTTCTGTCCACGCACGTTCCATGACATCCGAGGTCTTTCAGAGCATAGCCGGACTATGCACCTTGGGAAGAAGAAGTTACCTGTGGATTATAGTAACAAAGGTTTCCAGCTAGATATTGATGCTAATGGCAACCTGCTATTTCCCCACCTGGACTTCATTACTGTCTTGCCAAAGGAAGAACTTGGGGAGCGGGAAGTCTACCTGGCAATCCTTGCAGGGATACACTCCAAGTCCCTCGTGCCTGTGTATGTGAAGGTGCGGCCTCCAGCTGAGGGCACGTCCAGGAGCCCCAGCAAGCAGGTGTCAACCTGCCCTTTTTGCTTCGGCACCTTCATGGCACCAGAGGCGTATGAGCTGCATCTGAAAGAGAGGCACCATATCATGCCTACGGTGCACACAGTGCTCAAGGCCCCTGCCTTCAAGTGCATTCACTGCTGCGGGGTTTACACCGGCAACATGACGCTGGCCGCCATAGCCGTCCACCTGCTGCGCTGCAGGAGTGCCCCCAAGGACAGTGGCTCAGACCTGCAAGGACAGCCTGACCCTGTAGAAAATAGCGAGTCGCTCCTGGTGAATGGTGAGGTGGTCCCTGACACTGCCTCTTCTGTGAAGAGGAAGCTGCCTGACGGCCACTCAGGGGCTGAAGCCCAAAGGGTTGGGGAGGATGCACCTCTTGTCATGAGTGTGGATGCAGCCCCAGGTCCAGAAAAAGGGGCCAGTGTTGTGCCTTTTAAAAGACAAAGGAATGAAACCAGGACAGAGGGTCTGGTTGCTAGTGATGATGCTCTTCAGATTTTAGCATTAGATCCTAAGAAGTACGAAGACCGTTCTTATGAAGAAAAAAAGCAGTTTCTTAAAGATTATTTCCATAAGAGACCATATCCTAGTAAAAAGGAAATAGAACTGTTATCTTCACTTTTATGGGTGTGGAAAATTGATGTGGCTTCATTTTTTGGAAAAAGAAGGTATATTTGCATGAAAGCAATAAAAAATCATAAGCCTTCTGTACTTTTAGGCTTTGACATGTCTGAACTCAAAAATGTTAAACACAGATTGAACTTTAAATATGAACCACAGAACCTGTAAAAAAAAATAGTGAATCTAAAGTACTAGGTAATAGTTTTTTCACTGTGTTGAATTAATTCCATTGTTCTTTATGCTGCTCTTTAGATTTATTTCAGGTGCTCAGAAAGGCTTCTATGTAAAGAAGCAAATAGTTCGTTCAGATTTATTATAACAATTTTCTTTTTTTCCCTCTTTGTCATGTAAATTGAATCTTTTGATATTTCATGCACGCCTTGTTTTCCCAGCTTTGTTAGTATTGTGTGAAAAAAAAACCCGAAATGTACAAATATTCTTTCATTTAAGGAAATTTCAACCGGTTTCAGAATACTTGATAGCTGTGAGCTGGAGTGTTGATCCCCCTCAGCTTTGTGTGTGGAGCTGTGAGCACTGGCCTGCAGAGCGGGCGGCTCTTGGAGGGCACACTGCAAAACCGTGCTGCTCTTTGTAAGCTATTTGCTTATTAGATTACAATTTTGATCTACATTTTTTCAGTTTGTCCTAACAGCTGTTTGTGTGTGTTTTTTAATTTTTTATCATAATTCATAGAAAACCAAGTGTTTTTATTTGTTAAAAATATACTGAATCTGAGGTCTGGTATGTCACTCATAAACCAAGAGTTATTTTTACAAATGTAGATGCAGAGATCAGTTTTCATTGTAGACTTTTCCCCCTTTTTTGATACACTGATAAGTCATTTCTCTATTCAAAAGTAAGAAAGTAAATCTCTAGTGCCTTTAGAAGAAACATTGAAAAGACACACCCAAAAATGCTTCTAAACTAACTGCTGATAAACTAGTGAAAGGGAAGGACTATGATACTCAGGAATAAAGTTACTGCCCCTGAGTGTGGATCCTCAAACTTCAACATAGGTTTTCAGGGGACAGGGTGAAATGTGTGGTATGGGGTTTGCATCTCTGAGGTTGGCGACTGAGTCCTTGATAGCATGTCCTAGAGGCAGTGAGTGTTTCCTGGGGATACTGGCTTTTCTCTAGCCTCGCTGTCTGGGTGAATGGGACAGTGTGCTGCTAAAGAATCTCTGTTGTGTCCTTTGGATGTTAAATCTCATTTTTTCCCACACACTATAAAATAACTTAGAACACCAGAACCAGTAAGGGAGACTAGTTTAGACCATAAGTCATATTGCTGGTGATACATAACAGAGGAACCTGTCTAACATATCTTTAGATAGAAATATTTGGAGGACGTGACAGCCTCCAAGAAATATGTTACTATATGAATTTTTACAAATATACTTGCATGTAATTGCTATAATGTGCATTTTTGAGCAATTGTGAAACTGATCTGTGATTGTTGGTGTTTTCTGTTGTAAATTGAAAAAGAGAGCTTGTTGAACTTTATTATTTTTTTTTAACGTATTGTTTTCAGAGTGTCTATTTTGAATTAAAATTTGTTACACCACTGCAAATAGAACTGTTTAATTCTTTTAACAGTTAAAACATTACCAGTGTATGTCTCTGAGGAATAGTCTAAACATAGAAATAGGTAACACGTTTCTTTTATAAAGAACATTATTTGTCCTTGTGTGAAAATAAGTCAGCATAACCTGAAAGGGCTAATTAACTATCAGGGTCAGAAAATAGTTTTGCTAGAGATTCATATTTCCACAATGTTGGTCCCCACAGTGCCAAAGCAGGCTGTAACTAGGGTCGCAGCACTGGCTTGGCGGGTGTCAGTGGGAGGGACAGTCTGCTGTCTGCTGGTAGGTGACCTTGCTGTTCTTCATAGGTTTCTCAGCCTTAGCATTATGAATGTTTGGGGCCAGGTAATTCTTTGCTGTGGATGACCAGTGCATGGTAGGACATTGAGCAACATCCTGCCTCCACCTACCAGATGCCCAGAACACTATGCCCTGCCCCTGCTCCAGTTGTGGCTGCTGAAACTGTCATTGCTAAATGGTCCTTGAGGGGCAGAACTACTTGTCAGCACCACTGGGACGAAGGTGCTCCAGTGCCAGGTGTGTTTTAGCTGTGGCTTTTTGATGCTGGGCCTTGTATTTTTATTTTTATTTTTGAGACACAGCCTCAAGCTGTCCCCTTGGGTAGAGTGTTGTGGCATCACAGCTCAAAGCAAACTCCAACTCCTGGTCTCAAGTCTCCTGCCTCAGCCACCCAAGTAGCTGGGACCACAGGCACCTGCCACAATGCCCGGCTATTTTTTGGTTGTAGCTGTTTGGCGGGCCCGGGCTGGATTCAAACCCGCCACCTTAGGTGTATGTGGCTGACACCTTAGCCACTTGAGCCACAGGCACCAAGCCAGATTCTGAGCAAACTGGGGCAGCTGGTCACGCTACCTCATCCTTGCTTTTTTCCTCTGTAAAATATAGATAATACCCACATTGTAGGATTATAGTGAGGGTTAAATGGATAAGGCAACGTTTAGAAACCAATTGAGAACATGAAGCCAGGCTGTCTCATTATGTGGAAGCAGATTTGAAAATGACTTTCACCTCTGCGTGATCAATACTCTCTGAATTCTGGTTCTGCAGAGGCAGACCTCAGACTGACCTTCTCCTGTGTATGTCTGGTCCTCTCTTAAGTGTGGGTATGTGGAAATAGATTTTGGACTCTAATCCTGCTATTTAAAATTATATATCCTTGGGTGGTGCCTGTGGCTCAGCGAGTAAGGCACTGGCCTCATATACTGAGGGTGGTGAGTTCAGGCCTGGCCCATGCCAACCGCAACAAAAAAATAGACTTGTGTTGTGGTGGGTGCATGTGGTCCCAGCTACTTGGGAGGCTGAAGCAAGATAATCGCCTAGGCCCAAGAGCTGGAGGTTGCTGTGAGCTGTGATGCTACAGTACTCTGCTGAGGGCAATAAAGTGAGACTCTGTCTCTAAAAAAAGAAAGAAAAGTGTAGATCCTTTCTAATTTCATCATGTATTTCCTTTTGGTTGTTTCCCACGTTCCCTTCAATCCCTTTCATCGTTTTTGCCACCCATACTCAAAATTCTCTGTCATATCCATAATTTCTTTATAGGTGGGATCTTCTGTGGTGGCTGCCTTGTGATCCTTTAGTCGGGGGGTGATCTGTTTTGGTTTTGAATGTTGCCAGAATTTTTTTGTTGATTCCTTCTCACATGTGTTTTCTTCTTGTTCACGTCCTTCCTGTTCTTTCTCCTCTCTCTTCCTCCTCCTTAATTTTCCTTTTCTCTGTGCTTGGGTGTTAGAGTGGCCTCCTAGGTTCCCAGAGTCCCTTGCTGTCTCCCTGGGCCCTCAAAATGAAATTTCTGAGGGGGACAATCCAGTAAGAGTTGGCTGGGGTCCCCTTGCCCCATCCCACTAGGAGTAGCTGGTGAGGAGAGGTCTCTAATCCACCATCTTGGAGCCTACCTCCTTGTTACTTATAAATGAAATATTTTGCGTTATGGAGTGTGGACCCTGATCCCCTCACTATCTGCAATCTAGTTATGCGTAAATTGGTTTTGGATTCTTATCTTCTCATCTCTATGTGTGGCCTGGTTTTGTGGAAGTGGGGTTCAGACTGATTTTCCCCTTCATGTGACTGGCAGTCTCTGCAAGCTGGTTCTGTGCATGTAGTTTTATAATACTGACTCTCATCTCTGTGTGTGTTGGTCTTTGGAGTCTGTTTAATTGAATGTTGACTTTGGATACTTCTCAATTACACATGAGGTGCTCTCTAAATTAAGTTCCAGACTCTGATCCCCTCTGCATTTGGAAGGAATTTCGGATTCTAATTCTCTCAGCCATAGGAATGGTGGTCTCCACATTTGTATTACATGGAAGATTTTGGATTCTGACTCATTTCATTTGTGGTACTCTCTGTAGTCTGGCTGTTTGGAAGTTGATTTTGGACACTGGTCTCAGTCCCACAGAGGTTGGGGCTCTCTCCAGTTGGGCTCAGCTGGTTCCACACTGGGCATAGAATTTGGTTCTGAAGTGGTTATTCAGACTTCTTGAGAGAGACCCTGTCCCTGACACTTTATCTTGAGGGCAGAAGGATTCAAGTCAAGAAATAATGTTTGTGTTCAAAGCTCACTGTGTTGGCTTGGTGCCTGTGGCTCAAGCGGCTAAGGCGCCAGCCACATACACCTAAGGTGGCGGGTTCGAATCCCCAGC